TGTGTGCATTAATGTATATTGCGTGAGAAGAAAGGAAGTAGTAAGAAAGGTTTTTGAAAAATGGGTATTCCAATGTAAAGCGCATTGAGCTACTTTTTTTGGAAATGCGCTCTATAAATGTTATATATTATTATTATTATTATTTATTAACACAGCCCCAAACAACACTACTAGGCATTGTGCATTTGAAATGCTGGTAAAACAGAATAAAAGAAAACAGAAATAATACAGGTATGGCATAAGGCGTTCATTACAAAAAAAGCAAAAGCCTCATCAGTATTAATCTATCGCCCCCAAGTAAATCTCAAAACGGCCAGGTCAATTTCAAGATAACAATCAACAACGTCCGCACCAGGTGCCGCAGCATAGAAATATATTCTCTTCATAATAAACTTACCCCTGCGAAATGTGACTCATGCTGCCTTTAACTTGAAACTCCACTCATACAAAGACAGCAATAATTACAAACGATGACAAAATGGCGACGAGCTACTGCATTCTTTCCCTTTCACAACAGTGGCAATTAAAATTCAATGGTCCGCCATTGAAAAACAACTCGTCGTCCGGGAGAGTCACGTGACAGTAGTGGGGTTTATAAAACAGGCATTTCAGTGACAGGGAAATAGAAGAAAAACAAACCAAATCAATCCTGGAGATATTGCTCAATTTAATATCTAAATACAGTGCAACGTATTAAACTTTGATGATTCTATCCAAACTTACGTTGTTTTAACTCATATTATAATTTTTTAAATGTAAAAAGTACTTTCAAGTTAAACTTTTTAAACGCTCAGGTGCCGCAATTACAATATTATCAGGATTATGCCCCCTGGCCTTCGTTCGTTGCTGAGTACAATAGGCCTAATCTTGCTCAGTTGTTTATTAGCCTATTATTAAATTTCCTTGAGACTTCATGCCAAATTATTCAGTAGCCAACAAAGTGAGAAAAGAACTTGAATTTCAAGTTGATTTACAAATTATAATGAAAGTCTTCTTTGATTGTAAGTAAATGTAACCATTGCAGAGAAGAGTGTGATGGTTTCTTTATAAGAAGCTTGTTTATCCATCAACCATGAAGAGATCGAAAAATGATCACATTCGCTCCACCATCAGCCGATATTTCAAACGTCGACAGTTCCATGTAAGTTGTTTACTTGTTAGTTTTTGGCAGTAAGAACAACTAGGGCGTTTCGTTCCTTTAGTTTGAGTTCTGCTTTATTTTTGTTTACATCAGATCATCAGAGACAAACTGCAACTGCCACTCTCTTTGACTTGGGTATCGAATCGGGGCTCTTTGGAAATTGCCTTCCCGTTTGTTTACAAAAGAAACAAAAGTGATTGCTGTTGTTACTTGAATATAAACCAATGTTTAACACTTACCTTCTGTCTGCCTGCGCCTACAGCAGGGCTCAGCCAAACCTGTTTCTCTCTGGGTGGTGATCCTTTCCTCAACGATGGAGCCCCGATGCGTTGGAATCTCACACGTTACACAGAGAAACAAACCGAGGCTCAAACTAGCCTTTTCTCCATCCGAAATCTCAGCAGGCCTCCTCTGCCTTGCTACAGCTCTCCCCTCTAAAATCTAACCTCTACAGTTTATAAACTTGCAAACAATACAACTGAACTGAGACTCACACTTTCAGCCAAACAATACAATAGCTAGGCCTAACCCCCTGCCACAACCAAAAACAACCAAATAGACCACAATTGCAAAGGACAAAAGTGGTCATACAGGCTAAGTTTTGTATTAAAAATTTATTTTGGCTGGATTGGACTTTGATGGACCCACCATGTTCATGTGTGTGTTAATGCGCACTAGCCATTATAACAGTGGGCCTGGGGGTTTCAAGCCGCCCCGCTATCGGGGGGAGGGGGGGCCTTGCAAAAATAATATTTTTTTAAAAACACACAATCTTCACGTTTACATGGCAAATTATCAGTTGGAACGGGAAAGCAATTTCCAAAGAGCGCCCTAGAATCTAGTCTAAATTTCGGCTTGCAGTGAATGTCTGAGACTGATGTGGCTGTCCACTTTCAACTTGCTCTTGGTTGAGGCTGAGTAAAGAGCCTCCATGTACTTGAACGGTTGGATAGTTAAAAGTTAGATTGATCGAGATGTGACTCGATAGGGTCAATATAAGAAATTTATGACTACCTTCTAAAATCTGTTCTACAGACTACCATTTTTCATTATAAGAATAGTGATCAAGATTTAATATCCTGTGCAGTGGGGTAAAATCAATCTGACTGCTTTTCAGATTTTGTATCAATGAACATGCCTTATCCATATTATAAATTTTATGCTTGTGTACTGTTTTTCATGGTAAAATATATATATATTGAGTCTTGTTTACACTGATTACATAAAATCTTCTAACTTTCAGGAATCTGAAATGCCCTCTAGAAAAGATGGCCGTCGAGAACAGACAGTAACAGAGCTATCTGTCCGTCGTCGTGCCAAGTCTCGGACAAGTGTAGAGAACACTCTGGCCCTCACCAGCATATCGGGGGATGCCACAGCATGTGACCAGCAGTTTACAAGGCTAGTCATCAAGAATTTTATCTTATCGCTGTTGCGTGCAATCCACTTTATGTCCAAATTTTGATAATATTCCATTTTTACACCCTTTCAAAGCACTATCAAAGGTGCGCTTTTTGACATCATCATCACCAAAATGCAGTTTAATTCTATGGTCAAGGCTTAGAATTTTCTGGCTTTTCATGAATGTTGATAAGAACAACACAACAAAGACTAGTGTTTTGTCTCTTGTGTGAAAAGTAACCAAACAGACTAAAGTGGATTGCTTGCAACACACATGATTTGATCAGACAGCCGCATTGCAATTTCAAAGATACTGTTTTTTATACTGACTAAAGTATTTTGAGTTTTCGTAATAGGATTCTAAAGTCTAAGTCTTTTCTTTCTGTAAGGATTGCTTGAAATGTACAATAAATTTTTTGAAATGTTACATTTGAATGAAATTGCACTTTTTCTTTTTACAAGGGTTCACATATCTTTTACAGTTAAAAGAGTAGTGAATTTATAGGTGCGCCTTTGTTCTGTCTTCTCTTCTTTCTGCTTGTTGTAAATTGTGGCCTGCTTATCCCATATCTTTAGATTTTTTATTAATCTCAAACTGTGTTGTTGCTCTTCAGATTCAAGCATTTCATTCTTGGAGCAGCCAGCCCCCATCATCCAAAGCTCCAGCCACTCCTGCTACCGATGTTTGTGCACACCTACCTCGAGATGTTGTGCAACGGACAGAAGGTTCCAGGTCTGTATCACGCCTAGGGGTATTAGTTTAAGTTTTAGTAAGAGTTTTACGGCACTTGCAACACAATAAGGTCATATAAGTGCCGAAGATTAGAGGTGTTACAAGAGAGTAACAAACATAAAACAGAAGGAGAAGAGATAAGGACCCCAGATGTTTGGAAAGAAGGAGCAAACCACACAGGACGACCCACGCCTTGGTGTATAGCTTAAATCATGAACGCAGCTTATTAATTAACATTAAAGTGAACATTACAGCCGACGCTACGTTTTGAACCGTACCTGTGCATTATGCCGCGTTTTTACTGTATTTCTTTAACTCCTTTTCCTCACGAGTCAAGCTTTCATGTCTACATATTATTGGTCTCTCCCGTAGTAACAAGGTACATGGTTATTATACCAAAGGGGAGGTTTGAATGAAACAGGATTTAATGCCAGGTCTAAAGAAGAAATCCATCATTGATGAGGATGTAGATTTTGATTTAGCTGTTGAGTCACACGAAGAAGACAAAGATAGAACTGATCAGTGGACCATCCAGACAATTGGGCGCAGAAACATTGACTACTACTTGAAATAAACCCAAATCTTTAATCTGTGTTTTGCAGCTTATTTTATATTTTTGTCATGTGTGGTTGCTTTTGAGATGGTTGATTTTTTTTTTACTTTTTGATTTTGTTATGAGTTATTATGCCCTTTTGTCTGTTTTCACAACAAAGCCTATGGCAGGATTGAGTTGAGCATGAACATTTTGCCGTTTCTTTTTCTCAGCTCAGAAATTCCACGAGAGACACGGAGAAATGTTCACCGACGAGAAAAGTCAGTCGTTAACGAAACTGTTGAAGAAGCTGGAGACCAAGGCTGAGGTGATGTCCAACAAAGAAGTCACAGAATACAGGTAAGACTGGAGCAACTCTCTCCGTCATTGGCTCTCTCTCTCTCTCTTTTTCTCTCTCTGTCTCTTTCCCTCTCCATCTCTCATTCCCTCCCCCCCTCTCTCTTTACCTCTCTCCTTCTCTCTGTCTCTCTCTCTCTTTCTCTGTCTCTCTCTCTCTTTCTCTCTCAGAATCAAAACAATTATAACAAAAGGGAACTATTGCAGTAATTGTTTTTAGTGGGGCATAAAAAAAACGCTTACAACCCACACTAATAGGACCTTATGCAGTAAGTGCTGTAAAATTCTTACCAAACTTGACTGAATTAACTGTCGTTTTATAATCTCTTGCAGGGAGCACAGGTTCTTGCTGAGCGTGGAGCCGGACACTATGGACTATCTGATGCATTTTCTCAAGGTACGGTGTTCTCTGACAAACACATGCTACAACACATTGGTACAGAAAGATGACATCACTGACACACACATACTATGGGGGCTCTCGTGGCCTAGAGATTAAGGTGTTGGCCTCTCATTCAAAGGTCGCGGGTCCGAATCCGTGTAGTGACGGGAAAAATCTTCTTCTCTAAAATTGTCCCCTTTCACCTCCTTTCCTGCTCTCTAGCAATGTTCTGTCTTCTGCTTTCATCTCCACTTTCTGCCCCCACCCCCTCCTCTGGGCTCCTGACTCTTTCTGCAGCCTTTCTACTGCTGCTCGTTGGCTCCTTCTTACACTCATACTACAACACATGGGTACAGATAGACGACCACACTGACAAGCTGCTTTACTTTCTGACTTTAATTTTTTGTTTTAAATTGTTTATATTGTCTGTATAAAAATAAAAATTTGGTTTGTTTAAAAAAAAAATTTCAGAGCAGGAGGATGGTTTTTTTTAGAGCCATCTTCTTTTGGGAGGGGGGGGGGGAGTGGGTCTGATAATTATATGTTTTGTTTACCATTCATTCTTGTAACACATCTAATCTCTGGAGCTTATTTATGCCCTTATCGTGTTGCAGGTCCTGTAAAACTCTTACATAAACTTAAAATAGCAATTACAGAAATCAAAAATGTCAAAGATATGTTTTTTGTTTTCTTTTTGTTTTTTCAGACTGATGACAGCATGATCATGTTGCAGGTCTTCAACCAATGTGTCAAAGTTAATGGTAGGTGCTTCAGGCTCTTTTCTTTCCAAGAACTGCTTTGTACTCTCAATAAAATTTGAGCCCTCTGGGGTTTAGTTGGATTTTTTTTTTGGGGGGGGGGGTAATTTGAAGAACCCCAGATGTACTTATGGTACATAAATAGATTTCAAATTTGTGTTATTGAAGAATTGTTTGGAATGATTTTGGTATTAGTTTTTTATTTCAGGGTTTGTTTGAGTTGGGGGGGGGGGGTTGTTTTTGTTTTTCTTAAAGAAATTTAAGATTTGATTTGTTAACAGATTTTTAGAAACATTTTAGTTTACAAAATGTGGCATATCTTTAAAAGCTACTCAAGATATTTGAATTTTTTCTTTTAATCAGCGTGTTCAACATTGAATTTGCTACTAGATTGTGACAACTGGGTCCTTTCTCCAGGCAGGCAACACACATATATATTGCTCTTATAGAAATAACGGCAGGGCAGTTTGACAAACATCTTCTGTGTCCTCTCCCCACCAGGGCAGTACTACTGACCGAAGTTGTGTGTAGGCCATTCCCAGAGGGGGGATATTAACATGTTCTTACGCACAGTAGAATTGTAAATGGGCTGATTATCAATGAACTGCTGCTTTTTCTCTCCTCATCCTTACTATCATCATTTTCCTCTACCTCTTATGTATGTTTGTCACTCTTGTGAATTGCTATTTCCGGGGATTCCTTGATAGTCGAAGCAGACTTTGTGCTGTTGAGGCTAGAGAGGAGATCAGAGTAAGCCTGATTCCCCATTTGGATTTCTCTGTTGACATCCACCCCTTGGCGCTCATATGACCTTAGGCAGTTGCGAGGACCGTAAAACCTTACTAAAACAAAAACAAAAATTTCCAACATCTGGGACCTTTCTCTAGGCATACGACACACACAAATATATAGTGTACTTTTAGAAATAACGGCAGGGAAGTTTGACAAACATCCTGTATCCCCTCCCCATACCTCCAGTCACCAAGTCCGAGTCCAGCGGGCAGCTAGAGCTGCAGCCTTTCTCCGACATGGACACAGAGACGACCTCTGTGGGCGACACGCCAACAGACGTCACCGTGAAGACGGAGGCTAGCCAGGGGGAGCAGCCGCAGCAGGAACAGAGTCTGGAGGAAGAGCTGAGCGCGGCCATCTCGGCTGTGCGAGGATTACCTCCCTGCCTGCCTTCTATCTGTTTCTTCACGTTTCTCAACACCTACCAAGGGTGAGTGGGTGGGTGGTTGGCGGGTGCTCTGGTGTGGTTTGCTCCTTCTTTCCTATCAAACATCTATCGTCCTGATCTCTCCTCCTTCTTTTTTATGTTTGTTACTCTCTTGTAACACCTCTAATCTTCGGCACTTATATGACCTTATCGTGTTGCAAGTGCCGTAAAACTCTTACTAAAACTAAAACTGAACTAAAGGGTGAGTGGGGGGGGTGGAGCACACTGTGTACATGTAATTTTTTCGTCTGACAGTGCAGACGTTTTAGCTTGTTCACTGGGTTTATAGTACTTATTTTATTTCTGGACTTTAAAAATAATTTTAGTTTTTAAGTTATTTAAGAATTCTTCGGAATAATTTGTTTGTTACTCTCAGGTAACACCTCACTCTAATCTTTGGCACTTATATGACCTGATTGTGTTGCAAGTGCCGTAAAACTGTAACTAAAACAATACCGTGGGGAACATTACCTCTCACTGTGTGAGTCACTTGATTGTTGGGAATGTTAACATTTAAATGTGGGTGGTTGGCGGGTGCTCTGGGGTGGTTTGCTTCTTCTTTCCTATCAAAACATCTATCGTCCTTATAACTCTATCTTCTGGCTCTCATAATGACCTTATGCAGTTGCGAGCGCCGTAAAACCTCTACTAAAACTATACTAAACTTACATTTAAATATATCAATAATGCGGTCATCGCGAATATTATCCTGTTTACTGTATGAGTCGTGTGATTGTGTGGCTTTCAGCCTGTGTTCCTCCACCATCTCCCCGGACAAGAAGAAGCTGAGCGGGTGTTTCGAGGACGCCAGCATCTCCATTTGGAACCTCGAGCCCGACGTGTTCCGCCGCGCGCCCGCAGACACGGACGTCAGTCGCATCGTCTTAGGGGCGGACCACATCCTGTTTAGCGAGGACGAGATCAAGGAGAGGATGAACAAAAGGTCAGCGTTTCTAATGGGTCTGGGGAACCGTAATTATATGTGTCACAAAGCAGTGGAATCAGGTGCTTGTCTATTTTTGGGCATGTTGAGTTATTGGTATCGCCGTAAAGCTTTTTCATTTGTCTTGCTTTCGATGGAAAAAATATCCATTTATCTTAAATTTTATACAGGTTGAGATTTTGGCGATTGAAATAGGTGGGGGTCCCCTGGTCTCAGAGGTAAAACAAGCTAGAAAGTGATCGCCAAAGTTTAGTTATGTCCTTAGTTTGAGATTCTGGGAACAGTGAATTTACACTATTTATGCCTTTAGTTTATGTGTTCTTTGATGGATATGGAAGGTATTGAGCTGAAAAAAAAAAAAAATTCGATAAAAATTCCCGAACCTGCGGAAAAATGCCATTTTCTTCACTGTCATTATTTTGACGAGCGCCTGATTTCACCACGTTGCCTCACTGTGCTTTTAAGTTATATTGCTGTTTTTGATTACTTTTTATTTTTATTATACACATGACTGTGAGCCCGTTTGTGAGTGCTAGCATACTATTATATTATCATGGTTATGTGCACAGATGTGTGTGGAAGAGAGGATGTGGGAGGGAAGAGTGTGTGTGTAAATGGGTGTGCACATTTGCATGCATATATGCGTGTGTGTGCATGTTTGTGCGTGTGTGTCCCGAAATTGGGACACCTTGTCCTCTAGGTTGTGGTTCTGGCACAGCGCTTGCACCCTTACCCTATAGAACAAATCTCTCACTGGGCAGCTGAAAAGTGTTTCCTGAGACAGTTAAAGAACACCATTGGCAGGTCCTACTTCTTTACTTTCTCCCCTGTGTTTTTCGCCATGCACTGCCCCATGCTTTTTTACTTTCACAGCACAAAATGTTACTTATCTTGTCAATGTTCTACTGTCTACTTGAGTGAAAAACTAGACTAAACTGAACTGTTTTTCATGATGTAAGTTCGCATTTTGTTTCAGAAGTGGCCAGAGCACAGAGACGGCCAAGCTGGTGGGTCACCGAGGCCCCGTGTACAGAAGTCGCTTCCTGTACAACTCCAATAGTCACCTGTTGTCCTGCTCCGAGGATTCCTCTGGTCAGTATCTGTATCTGTCTATCTATATATCTATCTATCTATCTATCTATCTATCTGTTTATCTCTCTCTCTCTCCCTCTCTCTCTCTCTCTGTCTCTCTCTCTCTCTCTCTCTCTCTCTCTCTCTCTCTCTCATGTACTTTTAAAAAAAATAATTATATATATATATGTGCTCTTCACATGCAAATGTCAAATAAACATTCAGTTCAGGTAGTGTGACAGTGATCCAGTTTATGTCGATGAAGCCATTAAACACTTACAGCTACAGCTAGATGTGTACGGTAACCCTTTTCCCCATATTATATGTTCATGGCTATGTTTACCCCGTTTATCTAAAAAAAAAAAAAATTAAAATATATTGGTGTGTTTGTTAGGTGGGTGCTCTCTCTGTTGTGGCTTGCTCCTTCTTTCTTAACTAACATCTAACGTCCTCATCTTTCCTTCTTTTGTGTTTGTAACTCATATGTAAATGTAACATCTCTAATGCTCAACGCTTATATATGATTTAATTGTATTGCAAGTGCCGTAAAAATAACCGAATAGAAAACTACAAAAATATTAGGTAGCGTAAACACGGCCTCGCGGGCACTCGCGGCCTTCCGACCGCGTGGTATCGGTGAAATCGGGGTAATTCCGATCGCTGTTTCTTTGCTCTTTCGCTATAAAACACCAAATGCCTTACACCTTGTAAAAGTTCCGCTTTTCCTCGTTACAATGGTGTAAGTTGTTTATATGTCCGATTAGTAGGAGCTGGAGAATCGCCGACGAAAGCGAAGCCCCTCGCAGTCGGAATGCGTGGTCGGCCGGTTGAAAAATTGACACGGGTTCATTCAAATGCTTCGCGGAACGAAGAATGATTAAATACCGTCTTTTCATTGGCGGAGAACTGTAGAGCTTAAAACGGGCTTTCCAGTGGTATGTGTTTTGCCTTTGGCGTTTAAATAAAAAGCTTTTAAAAATACTGTTAAAATGTTTAAAGATCACTTATGTAAAATACCGGCTTATAAAATATATTTAATAAAAGATCAGCTTATTTCCTATTAAAATAAAGTAATCAACTTGGAATTATTTTTTATCAATCCTTCCGCGAGACTCAGAAAGCATGTGACCCCGCACGCGGGGTACACTACAGTATAGAGCCGACTCGCTCGCCGCGGGGCCCGGTGCGGCGCCGGCCGGGTCAACGCTCTGTGTTTTTGTCGAAATAACGACAGATCATCGTGTTTGAGGCGATAAAGTACTGATCTCACAGTCTTGAAAAAAATTAGGCTCCATATATTTGTTATAGTGATTGTACTCAGTTAATGTGGAGATGTTTAGTGCTCTTGGTACTCTTTTATTGTCTGTCAAACATGGGGTTGCAGCCAGTGACTGACTTTAACAAATTTGATCAAATTTTAAACAACTACCATTTTCTTAAAAATTGACTGAGAAGTTAAAGAATGGTACCAAAATGCTCAGTGGATATAGGCCTTTCAAATGGAACTGATAAATTTGGCATACAATTACTTTGAAAATTTAGTTTCTGGTACCTAAAAATATTGTGTTTAATCTTGCCTTGTCTATGTGTGTGTACGTTCTCCGCAGTGAGGTTGTGGGACATGGCCACCCAGAGCAACGTGTGCCTCTACAAAGGTCATAGTTCAGCTGTCTGGGACGTCAGTGTCAGGTGGGTCTCCACTGTGCTTGTTGCAAAGTTTCGTGCGAATAGAAGGGAAATTAATAAATGAGCTAGAATTTTTTTCGCGTGAACAGATAAGAGTGAACAAGCAATGGGCGCCACTTGTAGGTGAAAATTTCTTTCCCTTTTTCCACCCATCGGTAGACAGCAAAAGATCTTGTCAGTATCTTACTATTTTTGTGCCTATAAATAGCAGCTTGCACTGTACTGTGTAAGCTTCCCAGGAAGTTGAGAGTGTTTCAAAATGCTATCAGGTCTGCTGGAGTAAAGCGCACAGAGTTTTTGCTGTTCAACAGGAAATTACGGTATACATAATATGCTATCTATTATTACTATAATTACTTTTACTATTAGTTATTTTTTCTCCCCTGCCTTATGTGTGTCCAGCTCAACAGACACGTGGTTTGCCAGCAGCTCCCACGACACGACGGCCAAACTGTGGACCACGGAGAGGACGTTCCCGCTGCGCTCCTACGTGGGGCACACCATGGACGTAGATGTGAGTCTCCTCGGCTTGGCCGAATACATGGTCGCTTTTAAAAGGACAGGTGGGCTAACCCAGATTTTGGGGGTTTCCAGAAATCATGACCTACACCAAAAGTGGGCACTGTCCTACCTATAGGAGAAGTTTGGTTTCTTTGGTGTGTATATTTGTTTGGTTATAGAGAAAACTCTCCTTGTCTTTTAAAGAAGCTGAATAAGAGTCAAAAACTTTACCTTCGATTTTCTCAAAATAGCATTTTTCGGGATAGCCCCCTTGTGCTTAAAAGCGACCATATGGGAGGTGTGCTGACAAAATGAGTTACTTCTCGGATTCCAGCCTAATGGAAATTCATACATCAATTTTATAGGTGGAGTTTGTACAATTTGTAAGTGTGGAATACTGAAAGTAGTGAAAGACACGGTTGACTTGAAGAAAATGGCGTCAGTTGAAAATCTATAAATAATGACCTCTGTGTCGATTTTCAGCCGATATCTCCGTTCTTGGATTGCGAGATTAACAATTTCCTTGATGGACAAAGAATGATAAAGGAGATGCTAATTGTGTTGTTTTGTATTACTGTTTTGTTGGATTTTTTTATTTCTGTTTTTTATTTTGTTTTTTGTTTTCCAGTGCGTGGAGTTCCACCCCAACAACAGCTACCTGGCCTCTGGCTCGGGAGACAAGACCGTGCGCTTCTGGAGCCTCACGGAGGCCCGCTCTGTGCGTCTGCTACAAGGTCACCGGGGCTCGGTGCTGGCTCTGGCCTTCTCCCCCGACGGGAAGCTGTTGGCCTCGGCAGGTGAGTGTGGGTGGGTGGTGTAGGCGGTAGTGTAGCGTGGATGCCGTCATTTTTTTAAAGTACAGTAATATATGACGCAGTTTTGACAGGAGAGCCGAACAACAGAATGTTGTTTCCAAGAAAACAAAGTTTTTGCTTTAAAGACGAATTTGGATATTTTCAAAGAGGGGAGGGGGTTGGAGTGTGCTTTTTGTAGGCCCTGTTTCTTATCCTCCCCTCTGTTATTTCTGTCTTTCTTTTTGCATGCGCATGTATTTGACTCTCAGCGGGTGGTTGGTGGGTGCTCTGGTGTGGTTTGCTCTTTCTGTCCTATTATTATAATCTATCGTCCTGATCTCTCCTCCTTTTTTTTTTAGTGTTTGTTACTCTCTTGTAACATCTCTAATATTCGGCACTTATATTATATGACCTTATTGTGTTGCAAGTGCCGTAAAACACACTTACTAAAACTGAAACTGACTCTCAGGTGAGGACCGCCGTCTGCGCGTGTGGGACCTGCGCACGGGCCGCGTCATGAAGGAGCTGCGAGGTCACAGCGACACGGTCTATGCCCTGGCCTTTGACGAGAATAGCTCCGTGCTGGCGTCGGGTGGCGCCGACTGCTGTGTGCGTCTGTGGGACGTCAACAAAGCCACAGACACGCCTCAGTGAGTCGACTGTGCTCTGTTTGTCTGTGAACACGCTGACAACGTGTGTATGTGTCTGTCTGTGAACACACTAATTGCCTGTGTGTGTGTGTGTGTGTCCCTGTGTATGTGCATGCATGTCTGTGGGTCGTCAACAATGCCATGTACACACCGCAGTGAGTCGACTGCTCTGTTTGCTATGTACTGATGTACACACTATTCGTCCACTTGCTATGTACTGTTGTTCCCACTGCTATACTCTCACTGTTTCTGTTCCCAGTTTTTCCTGACTGTTGTCATGTAGGCCTACTGATGTTCCCACTACTGTTTATTTTGCTATGTACTCATGTTCCCACTGTGTTCGTCCACTTGGTAGGCTATCATGTACTAATACTAAAGTACTGATGTTCCCAATTTTTCCTGTTATGTACTAATATTCTCACTGTTTCTGTTGTTCTGAACTCATGTTCCCATTGTTTTTGCTGTTCCTATGTTCTGATGTTCCCAGTTGTTCCTGCTGTATACTAATGCTCTCACTGTTTCAAGTGTTTCTGTTGCTATGTGCTAATGTTCCCACCGGTCATCCACTTACCGTACTTACCCCCCGGGGCAGTGCCACTGACTGTAGTGTCTTTAGGCCAATCCCAAAGGGGGGGACATTTCTCGTTCAAGCATAGTAGAATTGTAAATGGGCTGATTCCTGTCACTCTCATAACTGTGCCTGATCTAAAACAGAGAACTGCTCCTTTTTCTTTCCTGATCCTTACTATTGTCATTGTCTTCTACTTCTTTTGTATGTTTATCGCTCTCTTGTGACCCGCTTTTTCCAGGGTGCCTTGATAGTCGAAGCAGTCCTTGTGCTGTTGAAGCTAGAGAGGTGAGCTGTCTAAGTCTGATTCCCTGTAAAGACTTCTCTGTTGACTCCCACCCCTTGGCACTCATATGACCTTATGCAGTTGCGAGCGCCATAAAACCCTCTACTATAAAAAACATATATTACCGTACTTAACCAAGTACTAATGTCCCCCACCGTTGGTCCACTCACAGGGCAGAGGGTCACTCGTCCCCGGAGCTGCTGGGCGCGTTCCCCACCAAGTCGGCGCTCATCTCCTACCTCAGCTTCTCCTCCTACAACGTTCTCCTGGTGGCCGGCGCCAGCTCGTGAGTCCGTCGTGGTCTCTATGCCAGTCTGACCCAGTGCAGTGCTGATTTTAAGCTAGTCTACCAAAGTCTGACAGACGCCACGCAGTGCTGATTTACCCCAGTCTGAGTCGCTGACGCCGGGCAGTGCTGATCTACGCTAGTCTGCTGACGCAGTGCAATGCTGATGTACGCCAGTCTGACGCAGTGTGGTTCTGATCTACGCTATTCTGCTGGCGCAGTGCAGTGCTGATGTACGCCAGCCTTACTGCCGCCGTGTGTGGTGTTTGTCTAACCGTGTCTGACCAAGTTTTCAATGTCATGCGGTGTTGGTCTACACTAGTCTGACGGAAGCAAGGCGGTGCTTGTGTTTGCTAGTCTGGTGCGTGGCATGTGGTTCCGGTCTATGGCTAGTCTGACAGATGCCTTGCGGAGCTGATCTACCTATGTCTGACAGATGCTTTGTACTGATAGTTAAGCTAGTTTGATGGATGCAAGACGGTGCTGATCTTTGATTGTCCAACGGGTGCCTTGCATTAAGTTGCATTGCTCGTCTACCCTAACGCTATAGATGTATGAAGTTCTGGTTGATGCGAGCGAGATGGAAACAAGATGAAGTTCAGACCAGCCTGACAAATGCCACAAGGGGCTTGTCTATCACAGCCTATGTGAGCACAATAGGCGCTACACCGTGTTTGCACGGTGCAGCCTCTCTATAACGACCTTCGATATAACGACATCCTCTGTATAGCGACATGGTGCCCAGGCCCCAATTTTTTCCTTGTTATATTATGTCATTAGGAATATTTTTGGATGCCTCTCTATAACCACAACTCTCTATAACGACATTTTTTTCTGGTCCTGACGATGTCGTTATAAAGAGGCCGCACTGTACTTAATGATAATAATAAACAATAAATAGCTTTTGTATAGCGCATGTCCCCACTCGAAAGCTAGCTCTTTGCGCTATATTATTACCCCAGCAGACCATAGAAGACTCAGAAACATTCTCAGCTTCCCGGGAAGCATGCTTGTAACCGGCTCAGCGTTGTGACTCTCAATTCCTTTCACAAACGTCCATGATATTGATAATCTGTTCCGTTGACTGTGGCTTGTGAACCTCAGACTTGAAGTTGAAGCCTTGGTCAGCTCTCTTCACCAATGGAAACATTTTTGTTTTTCGAAAAATGGCACTTTTTCTTTTGCCCCGAGTTGCTTCATATTGTCAGGAGAACTTTTTCCAAAGTGATATTTCTTTTTCTTTTAGTTGAGAAATTATTGATGGATAATCCTTGTCATAAAATGTAATTTTCTGACTCCTTCTACTTCTACTTAACATGTGTTTGCACTGTTGTTACATGCACAGCAAGCCCACCTGGGGTGGTGCCACTGACTGAAGTGTCTTTAGGCCATTCCCAAAGGGGGGACAATTCTCGATCATGCACTGTAGAATTGTAAATGGGCTGATTCATCTACTCATAACTGTGCCTGATCTACAACAGGGAACTGCTGCTTTTTCTTTCCTAATCCTTACTATTGTCAATTTTCCTCTACTTCTTTTTTATGTTTGTCACTCTCTTGTGACCCTCTATTTCCGGGGTGCCTTGATAGTCGAAGCAGACTTTGTGCTGTTGCAAGCTAGAGAGGTGAGCAGAGTAAGTCTGATTCCCTGTAAGGACTTCTCTGTTGACATCCACCCCTTGGCGCCCATATGACCTTATGCAGTTGCGAGCGTCTTAAAACCTCTACTAAAACTAAAACACTTTTGCAAGTTCATAAAATTAAAATGTGTCTGGTTTAATGACAGATAGGGCGGTACCAATACCGTCTTTAAGTATAAGAAACTTTTTTTTTTCATTTGAAGAGGAAGTGGATATGAAATCATTCCAGTAGGGAAGATTTAATAAGATACTGTACATGTATAATAATACTATCTGACACTCATAACATGCATACAGTAGTCTCTGCCTAAACGCACAGTGCTGGGGGGGGGGGGGGGGGGGGGGGTCCATGGCATGTGTTTATAATGGAGTGTGCGTTTATGTGACCCTGAGCAAAGGGAGGGAGGGAGGTACACAATCATCTCATTTATTTGATATATTATTTGGTGACTTCCCTTGGGGATGGGGGTCACTGTGGCCGATAACGTGTTATCGACTTTCTTATGAAGAATTCCCCGACTGGGGTTATGAAATATATTGAATACAAAGACATTGAATGGGTGTGTGTGTTTGGGAGGGGTAGAAAAACGGACTCACTGTACTAAAAGCCCAATTTGAAATGTCGGGAATAGGGAATGGAATCTGTTTGATGATAGTTATATATTTATTAAAAGGAAGAGCACTCAGCAACGTGGCTTTCCAAGCGACCACTTCCGACTGCCTGTCATCTATTGCAACTCAGTAAATTGCTTGGTTGATAGCAGAATCGGCTATTCCGGGAGACTTTTCTCATGCAATTCTTCCCCGCCCCCCTTCTCCCCCGCCCCCCTTCTCTCTCTCACACACGCACACACATGTACATGTACAAAACTATAATTTTATATTTTATAATACAATGGACTCAACTTGTGTTGATCTTCGGTGAAATTTATCTTTTCCTCCGGTCCCAGGCGCTCCTCTTCTTCTTTACAGATCTCAACGGTTAATTAAGTCGAACTTCGGATGAGTTGATCTTTTTTCACACCCCGACGAAATCACATCAACTCGTCCAAAGTCGACTGTATGCATTGATGCAATTCGAAACTCAAGATTTTCATCTCTTTGTTGCATTTTTCTGCAGAAATACCTAGGAAGATGCTTCTGTCCAGACGTAATCTCATTTAGTTGTACAGACGTTTTATATGTGACACAGTGATGTCGTGGTGGAATCAGGCGCTCGTCTATTTTTGGGCATGTGGAGTTGTTAGTAGCATCTTAAAGCTTGTCCATTTGCCTTGGTTTTTATGAAAAAAATATCCATTTATCTTGGATTCAAGTCGAGATATTTGCAATTGAAGGAGGTGGGGGTCGCCTGGTTTCAGAGGTTAAATTACTGAGAAAATAGCCGTCAAAGTATAGTTATAACCTTTAATGCTTGAGAGTGCTTGGAAACTTAAAAATTACATCTTCTATGCCTTTAATCAACGTTTTTCAGTAAAATTCCACACAGAAATGTGTTCTTTAAGTTTAATGGGCATGAAAGGTGTAGAACCAAAATACAAAAATTCAATAAAAACATTCCCAAACTTGCGGAAAAATACCAGTTTCTTCACTTTCATTATTTTGACGAGCGCCTGATTTCACCACACTGCCTCACATATGAAATGTAATATATTATGATATTGTTCATATTTTGTGTTCACTGTTCTGGACATTTCTGGCCAACAAGGCTGACTGTCCCCAGATGTTATTAAATATTTTTTTATGACGTTGACTTTTATCATTGTTGTTCTTTTCAAATTAATAATTTTTATCTTTAGATCTAAATAGTGGGGGTTGGCGGGTGTTCTGGTGTGGTTTGCTCCTTCTTTCCTTTTTTGTGTGTCTTTTACTTTTTTACTTTTGTAACACCTCTGATCTTTAACACTTACGAGATTATTGTGTTGCAAGCATGGTAAAACTCGTACACTGTACTTAAAAAAGGAGTAGACCTTATAGAATGCATATATATATATATATATATATATATATTATATTTATGAAGAGAGCTGACAAAATGAGTTACTGTACTTCTTGGATTCAAGCCTCAAAGAAATAGATACCGTACATCACGCTTATAGGTGAAGTTTTAACAATTTATAACTTTGAAATAATAAGATTAAGAGACAGGCTATTGTTAAAGAATATATGGCATCTACTGGAAATATACGAATTTGAACCTTGTGTCGATTTTTGGCCCATGGGCCCCTATCCCCTTACTCCTTTACTGGTGGGATAAGAAATCTACATGTTTTTATGTCCCCTTCTTGTCATCTTGTAATTAAAGGTTTAATTTTTACACCCTTATCAACACAATTTAGATCGTTTAGGAGGCGAGCTTCTAAATCCAACCCACACCCCTCGGGGCGGTGTCACTCACTGACTGAAGTGTCTTTAGGCCATTCCCAAAGGGGGGACATTTCTCATTCTAATGCACAGTAGAATTGCAAATGGGCTGACCCAACAATGTCATGCTCATAACTGCCTGAACTACAACCGGGAACTGCTGCTTTTTCTTTCATAATCCTTACTATATCACTTTCCTCTATTTTTTTTGTGTGTTTGTCACGCTCTTGTGATCCGCTATTTCCGGGGTGCCTTGATAGTCAAAGCAGACTTTGTGCTGTTGAAGCGAGAGAGGTGAGCAGAGTAAACCTGTTTCCCTGTTGACATACACCCCTTGGCACTCATATGACCTTATTCAGTTGCTCTACTAAAACTAAAATCCAACCCAGCCTCTTAACTATTGCACTTTACTCTTACTCTTATTAGTCTTGGGGCCAACTGGGGCTGAGAGGGATATTATATCCCAGCAGAAAGATCAAATATACTCGATAAAAATTTCTCTCCTCTTAGGTATCAAACTTGGGTCTCCTGTATGCAGCAGTAACCCACCTAACAGCCACACCACAGATGCCAGCAATTATTTTTAGTATTATCAGTTATAACTATTCAAGCATGCAGAGTATAATAATAAATGAAAACACAGCCGTGGGCGGTTGGCGGGTGCTCTGGTGTGGCTTGCTCCTTCTTTCCTATCAAATATCTATCGTCTCTATCTCCCCATCTTCTTTTTTTGTTGTAACTCTCTTGAAACACCTCTAATCTTCGGCACTTTTTTGACCTTATTGTGTTGCAAGTGCAGTAAAACTCCTACTAAAACTAAAAACTTATCTCTCCTTCTTTTTTGTGTATGTTTTGTTACAGCTACTCCCTTGTAAAACATCTATTCTTCGGCACTTATGACTTAAATGTGTTGCAAGTGCCATAAAACTCTTACTAAAACTAAACTAAAACACAGCCAAACCTGTTTAAACAAGCACCTGTAGTGTATCTGTCCCCGTGGTTTTATGCACCCCGCATAATTGTGCAAATTTGATCATTTTTTGCATAATTTCCGATTTATTTTCCTTCATCATTCTTTGTTAATTGTTATGGGGATCCACTGGTCAGATCAGTACAAATTTTGAAAAAAATATCAGTTTTCAGATTTTGGAGTATCTTAATAGATATCAATATCAAGGATCCATCTTTAGAAGCCTAATTCCTTTATCAAACTTATAAATAGCTGGAAAACGCATTTGAGAGAGGTAGCAATACAGGAAAATCTTCACCAAAAATTATTTCTCTTTGCAGTTTTCTCAGAATTGTTTATCTGACCAGGTTGCAACACTATATTGAGTAGATCTCAGAAAGTTACTGTCAGAAGTGTTTCACATTTGCACACAATCTTTTATACACATTTCTCTATAACCTTACAGGGGCATTTTTGCTGTTTATGGAACACATTTTGAGTTTTAGGCCTTTATTTTACAAAATTTTAAAATATTGGAGACCTGAATGTAGTGCATAACAAGGACTGTAAGGCTCACAAGTCCGTACAGAAAATTCAAATTTGGCCCTGTAAGGTTATTCTACCCACAAACAGTAATCGCCATGCCAAATATTAGGCTTCTATCTTGACGAGTGTTGATGATTGACAAAATATAAAATTGGTTTTAAAAATGCTGAATTAATCCTTTATTTTGTATGGCTCGAGATGATTATGGCTGAAATCTTGTTTTTGCTTGGTAACCTTT